GTAATGCTGGTGAAGGGATGAATGTGTACATCAATGGAACAGAACAGAGAACCCAGCAATAGCCACACATAAATATGCCCAACTGATATCTGACAAAGGTGCAAAGGCAAAGCAATGGAGGACAGCCTTCTGGATAAATGGTGCTGGAGGAAGTGGACCTGCGTAGGCAAAAATAAATAAGTAAACCTCAACCTAAGTCTCACACCTTGTACAAAAATGAACCCAAGTGGACCATGGGCTTAAATGTAAAACATAAAACTACAAAACTTTTAGGAAAAAAAAAAAATTGGGAGAAAATTTTCAGGATGTAGAACAGAGAGTTTTTAGACTTCACACCAAAAACACAAGTTATAAAAGGGAAAACTAATAAAATTGGACTTCTCAAAATTAAAAAACTTTTGCTCTGCCAAAGATCTATTTAAAAGACGAAAAGATAAGCCACAGGCAGTGAGAAAAGACTTACAACCACATATCCAACAAAGGGCTAGTATCTAGACTATATCAAGAACACTTAAAACTAAACAATAAAAAAATCTAATTAGAAAATGAGCAAAAGACATGAAGAGGCATTTCACCAAAAAAGATATACAAATGGCAAATAAACAAGTAAAAAGATATTCAACATCATTAGCTACTGGTGAACCGCAAATTAAAACCACAATGAGCTATTACTAGACACCTATCAGAGTGGCTAAAATAACATCACCAAAAGCTCACGAGGATGCAGAGAAACTGGATCCCTTATACACTGCTTGTGGAATATAAAATGGTACAGCCACTCTAGAAAAGAGTTTCTTAAAAATCTAAATATGGGGCCAGACGAGTGGCATGTTGGTTAAGAGTTGGCTTGGGATGCCAGTTCTAAGCAGCAGGGCCCCGGTTCAGATCCCACATAAGGGCCAGTGACACTGCGCCCTCTACAGCTAAGATGGTGAACAACAGCTCAACCCTCAGGTGGGCTGCTGTGAGTCGCCAGCAATGGCGTAGGCTGCAGTGGGGCTGGCCGGCAGCTGGCGTGAGCTTTCGTGAGCTGCTGTGAGCGGCCGTCCAATGGCCGGTGAGCGACTGCCTCACCTGGGAAGAGTGCAATGATAATACCAACATGGGCCAGTGAAGCAACGTCCTCCACAACTAGACTGACGAACAAAAAGGACAACAACTTGTCTGCTCCTCTCCCCCAATTCCCCAATAAAATAAAATTTAAGAAAAAATATAGTATCAGTCTTAAGGTTTATAATTTAAAAAAAAAATGTAAATATGCAACTACCATAGAACCCAGCAATTGCACACCTGAGCATTTATCCCAGGTAAATAAAAACTTATGTTCACACAAAAAGCTGTACACGAATGTTTATGGCAGCATTATTCAGAATTGCTCTAAACTGGAAACAACGCAGACATCCTTCGATGACTAAATGCTTAAACCCCCTGTGGGCATACAGCCATGCGATGGAATACTACTCAGCAATAAAAAGGAACAAATTATTGATACATGTGACACCCTGGATGAATCGCCAGGGAATGATGCTAACTGAAAAAAGCTAGTCCCAAAAGGTTTTAAATGGTATGGCTCCACCGATAGAGCATTCCTGAAATGACAAAATTAGAGAAATGGGGAACTTATTAGTGGTTGCCAGGGTTAATTAAGAAGGGGGGCGGGGGGCTCTAAAAAGGCAGCATGAGAGATCCTTGTGGTTACGGAAATACTCTGTGTATTGACAACACCCATGTCAATAACCTGGTCACGATAACTGTTCCAGTTTTGTAAGATGTCACCACTGGGGGACACTGGATAAAGGGCACACAGGCTCTCTCTGTAGTATTTCTTACATGGCTCTCAAGTGAGCTCAAAATAAAAAGCTAAATTTAAAAACATGAATGATTTGAGAAGACCCAAGAACATGAGCACAGGACACTTCAGCATATTCAGGTAAAATTTAAAAATGATATTGTAATGTGAAGTAGATAGCGGGCAGGAGGAAGAGAGGGACGTCCCGGATGTCAGCAACAGAGGGAGGAGAGAGGACGACCCCCGCAGCCAGTTACGTCCAGTACATCTTCTTCTCAGCCTGGGCAAGTCAAGCGCTGAGAGGCAACGAGTGAGGGGTGGTGGCCCTGTTAGTCTCGCTAGGGACCCCGAGGTCACACGCGTTAGCCTTCAGAACCCACAGAGACAGCAGGGCCCGTGCAGAAATCGCTGTGGATGACTCTCCAACTAAGACTCCTGGGCAGATGCAGGGAACCCTGCCCTGGGGAACTCTCGGGAAAGCCAGGGGAGAAAGCAAACGGGCAGCCGCAGGCACAAGGCTTACACTGCGCTGGGTTCCCATCCTAGAAAGAACGGCCAGGAGGTGAACCTGAAGGGGTGCGAACGACACATGTGAGGTGCTCTGCCCTTTCTCAGCTCACCAATGAGCTACCAAGAAGGTGAAGGTCGAAGGGGAAATGCAAAGTTTTAAATGCATGGATGTGGTGGACAACAGGAGAAAGAAAGAGCTCAGGGAAGACGGGTACTTGAAGCGCCATTAGTTCAACTTCTGAACGTTTTAAGAAGACGTGTTTTAAGTGCCATTCTCTTAAAGAGAGGCAACAGTTTACACAGGTGGATTTCTTTTTTCCAACTGAATTTAAGTTCACACATTGTGAAGTGGCCAACGGTCATGCGAATGGCAAACGGGAGACGATGCGATGTCTCTCTTCTCTCTTCGGCTCTTCCTGTCTTCAGCCCCACCTCTCACTGCCACTGTCACCTGATGCCACACCAGGTGACAGCGATGGGCAAGGACCACCCTACCTTCCACTACATTTGAGGCCAGTACAGCAACAGCCATAAGGATCCTACCAACCCCCCGGACTGTGGAAGACACGAGGGTGGGTTAGTTAAACTGAGTGTGAAGAAGGGGCAGCCACTCCACTGTCAGCCGGCACGGGCTGGGCTGCTGAGCACGGGGCCGGCCTGCCTGCCTGGGTCTGCACGGGAGCCCTCCGGCCGAGTGTGAGAAGAACGGGAAACTGTGGAGGAGCTCTTCTGGGCTAGGATTTTGATAAGAGGAGGGGAAATGGGGACTAGGAAGAGTGTAGCACGGGGCACGTTTATGTTGCCAGCCCAGTGGTGCCTGGACATGCAGGCAGCCGAAGCTCACTGAACAGGTGAGCCAAGTGGATGCTTAGCTAAGAAATAGAACAGGGCGGAATGTTTGGCCCTAGAGTTATTGTATATTCGGGCACAACTCATTCCTTAGTATTCCAGGTGAAACAGGTAAGCTGCGCTCTACACCTGTCCCAGTGAAACGCGAAAAGTCAAGGTGAAGCAACCACATGCACAGGAAGAGATGCTCATCTCCTTCCCCAGGGAAAAGAACCCCTACTTGACCACAGTTTGGCTGTTGCGCCTAAAGGTTAACAGAGAACAAAACCTAGGGGAATACAGGGAGGAAGGAAAATTCCTACCTTCCTGTCCTTGCCAGAGAAGGGAACCCAAAGAGAGCAGACATAGCTGAGAGCAGCTCAAGATGCCAGACACTGACCAGCACACACGAGCTAGGAGGGGGTGGGAGGGCCCTCCGAAGCAAGGACATACAAAATACCGGCAGACAGCAACAAGGCAACAGAACACGCAGAACTAAAGAAATGGGTTTGGGCTTTTTTTCTGCCTCCTTTTAAGATGGAAAGAAATGCCCTTTCAGTGAAGTGGTGACAAGATAAGAGGGCATCCAGATAAAGTCCAAGCACTGTCACTAGGATACGCTAGAAAAGTGACATCAATCACTGCCTTCTTGAGCTAGTTGGTCACTTCCCTCTTTCTGAGTGTTTTACTGTCAGAGCCCAAGAGACATTTAACATCCAACGCTGCAAGAATGTTCTCAAAACGCTTTATTGCTTCCATTTCCGCTAAACTGAAAACCCAGAGAAAAACAATTACTGAGGCATTCTTGATAGATCTGTTCCCCAAATTTCACACTACAGAGACCTTATTTTAGTCGTTGCCCTTCGGGAAGTGGATCATGGGGTCAATACTAGACATCTGAACCACAGCACACATCTCCTAATTCACAAGATACTGGAGGCAAATAAAGGAAAGATTAGCTTACCACTGGGTGTTCATAAGCAGACAACTGAGCCAGAGTAAACTAGCCCAAACTAGCCCCCTCCAACTTCCTAACTGTTCTCGTGTGGGTAATAACTTGTATGGTCTCTCTAGCTTGAATTTGTTTCATTCAACATGCCCAGTCATTTCCAAATGATGAGTATCATGTATTTGTAAAACACATTTATCTGTTTGCCAAAAATTGGCCTCTTGGAGAGAAGCAATGACAGAGATAAAAGGCTGGCTTGATGCCTATTGTGAAATGTATTTCACCTACATCAACTTACGCTTCAGCTTTTTTAAAAGCTGCAAACAAAGGCAAAGATATCCTATTTAAATGGAGATGGGTTTTCCATTTGTAGCTTAAATTCACTGCAGTGAAAAATATTACTGAACATACTAGATCCACATCTTAAGTTAGCAGGCCCAACATAAAAGTGGGTACCAATTACGTGTGCTTAACTATAAATGACAGGAATTATAAATGACAACAGGAAATTGTCACCAATAACTGAGGACCACTGGTGATATAGCCAGACTAACACTTAATTCAATGGGATGATACTATGATTAGCTAGATCTCAGACTTCTAACCTATTCCCACAGTCCAACAGTTTAAGAACTCTTTGCTTACCCTAAACTTAAGGTGCCATAACTCAACTAGTACATAGTTTCTGGCTAAAAGAATCAGCTTCCCTGAAAAAATTTTTAAGTAAGATTCACATTGTTCTATGAAAATAATCCTTTCTCTCATGTACATGCACACACGCGCGCGCACGCGCACACACACACACACACACACACACACACACACACGTAACTGAGCTCCCACCCCTAAAATCAAGGGCATCATATAGAGCGCTCATGTCTACAGATTCATCACCGAAACACCAAAATGTAAATGATACTCTACTTGTCCACTCGTATCTGCAGCCTGCTGGAAATGTGTAGCCAACGACGTCTCATCCTGGAAAACTTCATTGCACTCCAAACATTTCAGACTATGCCTGCAGAGCTTGGATGGGTCTTCATCCAGAGGCATAGCTGGAATGATGGGTGTGCTTGAGGGAGCTGATATGACGGTCCCGGTTAGGCCAGACTGAATTTTTGTTACAGTGTGCGTGCCGGCCCCCACAGAGCTCGGGAGAGCGGAAGGTGCAGCCGAAGTATTGCTTGACGGAGAAACAATCATTTGATCTGCAGGGACAGGCTTTAGAATCAAGTGGGAGCACTGCATGACCACTCCCTTTTCCTTATGCCCGCGGGCGTGGGAGAGGAGACTGCACTTGTTGTAGAAAACAAGGTTCTTTGTACAGTGGTTACACGTTACTTCGATGCGCACGCTGCGTCTGTCGTAGTGTTGAGTCAGGCTCTTTTCAAGAGCAAAGGAGTCGCCACACTCCAAGCACTTGTACCCACGGGTCGGTAACGTGATGCCTGCATTAGCAGGGGGACTGAGGTTGGGGATGTAAACTGGAACTGGGTTGACGCTGCTCAGCACCTTGTTGAAAGCTTCCACCACAGAGCTCTGCAAGGAAGACACCACCTGGACGCGAGACACCTTTTTGGGTGGTTGCGAGGCTGCTGCATTGATTATTGCCTGCTTTATTTGCTGCTGAGGTTTGGTTAGCACTTGGCGGAGCTCAGAGGTGGCCTGGGCGCCCTGAGGCAGAAGGTTAAGGTTGGCGAGGTGCACAGTCTTTGGCACAAGTTTGGCATTGGCCAGGCTGGACGCCGGCACCACGACGGTTTGCTGCTGGATGGCGTTGGCAGCTTTAATGATGGCGCTGCTGGCGCTCTGTACAGAGGCAGCAGAGATGACCGTGGCTTTGACCGTCGTGTTGTTAGCGAGCTTCAAATTAATGACTTGAGACCCCGCCGTCTTCACAGCGGACACTGGGAGGAAGGCAGTGGCCACGGGCTTAATAGTGACCTGTTTGGGGGTCAGCTCTGCAGGGGCCACTGCGTTGGTGACGACCGCCGATTGCAGAGGCGCTCTGGGGGGAGAGGAGAGGACGGCAGCTGAAGTTGGAGAGGACAGAAGCGACGTCACAGACGCCATCACAGGCCCTGTCTGCTCCGGAGGCTTTTTTCCAGAGTCAAGATCGACTTCTGGCAATACCCTTGTCACTGTTCTCTTTATTTCCCCAGATGATGTCTTAATGGTTTTTATGCGGACTTTGGGGATTGCTGGTGTCGACCCTGCAGGGGATGATGGAGATCCCTTGCTGCTGTTTTCACTTGAAATGCTCCTGGGGCTATCCGGCTGCTTTAGGGGCGCTTTTTTCGTCCCATCAATGAGACTCTGGGATTCTGGAGACTTTTCAATGGCTCTAGGACTATCATTTACTTCTTTTGGTAATGGAGACGATTCCCGTGAATTGCTCACTGGTTCTTTACAGGAGTCTGAAGCAGCCTTTTTAGCACTAAGAGCTGCAATTGCAGCTATGCACGAAGAAAGTTTGGAGGATGGCTTTGACCTTGATGGTGCCACGCTGCCAAGGGTGGTATCATTCTTCTCGGAGCTCAGCTTCCCGTCATGGACCCTGTTTTCAAGCGCCTTTTCAGAGTTTTCCTTCGATTTATCCTCCATTTTTCTGGCTTTAAAAGGTTCATAAACGCTCAGATTTATAGAATTTGTTTCTGTTTCTCTCTTAACAACTTTGTTTTTATCTATATTGCCTGATGTAGAGATTCCGGTTTTGCTTAAGTTTTCCCCTCCAAGTACCTTTAGTTTATCATAGTCCTGTTGGGGAGCCGACCCCGTCAACACATTGGATCTAAAACTTGAACGCATGTCCTCTTTATCAGGGGGGTCGTCCACCTCTATCTTCTCATCGTCATCAAACTCTTCAGCACTGGAGATAGGGCTAAACTGGCTGAAAGTGGAGTCTTTTAAAGTCACCTCTGAGGTAGGCACATCTCCTTTCAAGGACTTTGATCCATCTTTACTATAACCGTCAAGAGAGGTCGCTGTGAGAAACCCATTGTGTAAGCCATTGCCTGTGGGGGTGTGGCCATCTTTCTCAGCGCCTTCGGAGGAATCGATGTTCCGCACGTTCTTCACAATAACGCTGACGCCAACGTCAGAAGAGGATGGCGTGTGGGAGTCATCGTCTCCATGAGCATTCTGCTTGATGTGGCTTTCCTGGTCATCGTGTCCAGATTCAATAGCTGCTTTAGGATCGACCATATCTGGGATGTCAAATGCTGCCAGGAGGTCGTCAAAGTCTGGGGTCTTCATATCCCCCATGGTCATGAATTTGATCAGGTGTTCTGTTAAACAAACAGAAAATAATTCCATCAGCAACTGGCATTTTGTCACAATGAGATAAATACCCCTATAGGATTTACACCAGCACAGTGATGATTCCCAAGAAAGGGCAAGTTGGTAACTAACTGCACAGTTAATGTAACTACGAAATTCTGATTCAAAGTGAACAAACATCCTGACAATATGAGTAAAGCCTTGATAATTGTAGCTTCAAAGTAATTCCTCCAAAACGCTGTACAGCATGAGCAGTGTGTGTGGCAGCTCTTTAAGGAGAATGAAAGTGATCGAATCTGTTATTGCATGGAAAGCAGGTTTTGATGTAACAACTAGAAAATGTGTCATTTATCACTGGATTCATCACACTATTTTCACAAAAAGCTACCTCCAAACATTCTGACTTGACGACATTTAATTCCACTGGCAAAATTATCACTATTATAGTCACTGTCAGATTCGCGCAGGCTATCAAATTAAAAGACACATATTACAATAAAAAAACCAACTACAGATATCAATTCACCCACAGAAGACATAAGCATCCCCACCCACCATAGGATATCTACTGCTCACAAAGCTCCACCGGGGATTTTTAAAAGTCCCTAAGGAGCTGATTCCAGTTTTCATTTAATCCTAATTTTCTCCATCATGTTAGGGGAAAAACACCCTCCTGGCAGAAAACTACAGCGTCCCTCCCTCCTCCTCCCCTAGTTCAGCGGTTGTAATGCCAAGGTAACACACAGCTGTTGCCACCCAACACAGTTGTGCAAGTGGCTGTGGCAGCTGAGGAAGGCCCTTCCACGAACTTACTCTCAGTGTGTAACCAACATGGACCTGAGGACTGACGAGCCCGGGAGAAGGAAAGCCCCCACTTTTGCCCCTGAGCTCGGTATGGGTGGATAACGTTCTATGCAGATGAGTTCCCATTTGTGTCCGCAAAGCCCTGGGTCGTAGAGGGATGGAGAGTTTTGGGAAAATGGGCAATTACAGCCAGTAAAGATGAAGGGCATATACATAAATGAAGTGCTGGGGGGGGGGGTCTTTAAAAGGCGCCCTTCGCCACACCTGCAGAGAACAAGTGATTGTGGGGTTCAGATGAAACTCCCACTGTAGGAGAGATCTTTCTCCTCCCTGAACCCCGAGGGCACGCCATCTCATGGTTCTGTCATTTTCTGGTATGTACTACAGTATGTGTGCCCTTGTCTCTTCTCACCCGCTGACTGAAGCCTCACTCATCTTTACAGCATAAATGCCAGAAAACGAATGCACCACGTGTCAGCGGCCAGAACACTGGATTTATAACTGAAGAACAGGCCTAGACCCAGCTCTGTCACTCCCTCGCGCTGAGACCCTCAGCAAGTGAGGGTATCTCTTCCTTCTGCAGCGGAGGGAGGTAAGTGGCCAGAAAGAGAAGGAAGAAGGGAAGAGGGAGAATGAAAAATAGGACAGGGAAGAAGAACAGGAAACAATGTCAGAAGGGAAGAGGGTTACAGCTGATTTTAGGCAACTTTCAATGGAAAATTAGCCTGATTTGTGAATACGTAATCCTAGACTCTTTCTCTTTAGTATTTTCTATATTATTCCTCCTTTAAACCGGCTTTAGATCACTAAGAAGTTGTCTTCCACATTTTAATGAAGTATTTAATAATTTGTTTCCTTGTACAATCTGTAAAAGATCAGGCACTCCTAATAAAAGAAACAATACGAAGGTCAAGGCTGAACTTCTACTCAGGTGACAACATACATACCTTTGAAAACTCAAATAAACCACAAATCCATCAGCAGCTGCTAAGATACCCTCAGCATATTCACTCACTCTGGGACACGTCCAAACATGTCTAAGAATTTGGTTGGGAAAAACTACTGCTGAAGATGAAATAAACACTCACGGTTCAATAGGATCTGGAGAATAAATCACCTTCCATTCTCTTATGCCTCAGTTAATACAGATCTAAGGGAGTCCCACACACGTTTCTCTAGATGGTTTGCGTCACCTAGAGAAAACTCGCCCACACGGCCACTCTTCTTCTCTCAGATGGGTGGATGCAGGACCAGACAGGGAATAATGTATCCCCAGCGTCAAACCACAGCCAAGACTAAAAAAAAAAAGAGGTGCAGAGGAAACAAGACAGCAACACTGCTAAGCTCATACTGATGGGAAAATATCTATGAGAAGTCACACCCAGTGCAAAAGTCTGTGATGATGATTTTCTTTTTAAAACGAAATTGAACATTTAAACTGCAAACTATGAGGAATGAAAAACCATCGGTCAGATAATACATCTACATAAGAGTCCACTCACTTAATCCCTGAATGTCACCACTTTTACTTATAAGCATCATACTGTAGCTATAAATTGGATACTCACAATAAAAGCACCATTAGCAAAGCATCCCTCTGGTCTACCTTTACCAACCATGTTGATCCAAATTTATAATCACTGTCTTTATAGAACTCAAGGCACAGAAACATTAGCCACCCCCCAACCCCTCCCAGAGCTGAAGGTGATTTTTTAATGCCACCACTTATCCAGAGCTTGAACCCATAGAAGTCCCAGTGGCAGTTGGGCTCCTCCTAAGTCCCTCCATCCTTTGTTTACAGCTACACAGGATTCATGCCATTTGCTCTCTCCTTATGATTCGGGTGAGCAAAAAGAACCTAAGAGAGAGTTCAAATACGCACAGACGGTAAGCCCAGGAGACAACCACGAGAAATGATAAAAGCTCACCACGTGAACCAAAACTGGTTGAGTGACTGGCAGGTATTCTCTGCCCCTTTCTTCCTTCCCCTCTCCCCCTTCCTCTCTCTCTCT